ACTTTGCTGAATTTACTTAGTAGCTCTAACAGCCTTTTTTTTTTTTTTTGATTACCAAATTACCTTAGCTAACTCACCATGAATTACCATGGGCTTACTGTGGGAGTTTTGGTTTTTGTTTTTTTTAATTGAGCTATAACTGATTTACAATATTGTGTTAGCTTCAGGTGTATAAAGAAGTGATTCAGTTTTATGTATACTTTCTCAGATTATTTTTTATTATAGATTATTACAAATTACTGAATATAGTTCCCTGTGCTATCAGGTAAATCCTTGTTGCTTATCTGTTTTCTGTATAGTAGTTTGTACCTATTAATCCCAATCTAACTCATCCCTCCCTGCTCCCTTTCCCTTTGGTAGCCATAGGTTTGTTATCTGTGAGTCTGTTACTGTTCTGTATGTAGATTCGTTTGTCTTATTTTTTAGATACCACGTATAAGTGACATCACATGGTAATTGTCTTTCTCTGTCTGACTTACTACTTCGCTTAGTGTCATATTCTCCACGTCCATCCATATTTCTGCAGATGGCAGTATTTCATGCTTTTGTGGCTGAGTAATACTCTATTTAAAAAAAATTACTACATCTTCTTTATCTGTCCATCTGTTGATGGGCACTCAGGTTGTTTCCACGTCTTAGCTATTGTAAATAGTGTTGCTGTGAACATTGGGGTGCACGTATCTTTCTGAATTAGAGTTCCCTCTGGATATATGCCCAGGAATGGGATTGCTGGATCAATGGTAAGTCTATTTTTAATTTTTTGTGGAATCTCCATGCTATTTCCCATAATGGCTGCGCCAGACTACATCCCCACCAGCAGTGTAGGAGGGCTCCCTTTTCTCCACAGCCTCTCCAACATTTCCCATTTGTGGACTTTTGAGTGATGGCCATTCTGACTGGTGTGAGGTGATACCTCCTTGTAGTTTTGATTTGCATTTCTCTGAAAATTAGCAATAGTGAGCATTTTTTCATGTGTCTATTGGAGAACTGCTTTTTTAGGTTTTCTGCCCATTTTTGGATTGGGTTTTGTTGTTGTTGTTACTGAGTTATATGAGCTGCTTAAATATTCTGGAAGTTAAGCCCTTGTCAGTAGCATCATTTGCAAATATTTTCTCCCGTTCCATAGGTTGTCATTTTGTTTTGCTTATGGTTCCCTTTGCTGTGCAAAAGCTTAAATTTAATTAGGTCCCATTTGTTTATTTTTGCTTTTATTTCTGTTGCCTAGGTAGATTGCCCTAGGAACACATTGCTAATATTTATGTCAGAAAATGTTTTTTGCCTATGTTTCCCTCTAGATTTATAGTGTCTTGTCTTATGTTTAAGTCTTTAAGCCATTTTTAGTTTATTTTTGTGTGTGGTGTGAGGGAGTGTTCTAACTTCATTGATTTACATGCAGCTGTCCAATTATCCCAACATCACTTGCTGAAGAGACTGTCTTTTCTCCGTTGTATATTCTTCCCTCTTCTGTTGAAGATTATTCGACCAAAAGTTAGTGGGTTTATTTCTGGGCTCCGTATTCTGTTCCAATGATCCATGGGTCTGTCTGTGTACCAATACCATGCTATTTTGATTACTGTAGCTCTGTAGTATTGTGTGAAGTCTGGGAGGATTATTCCTCCAGATTCATTCTTTTTCTTCAGTATTGCTTTGGCAGTTCTTGGTCTTTTGTGATTCCATATAAATTTTAGGATTATTTGTTCTGGTTCTGTGAAAAATATCCTGGGTAATTTGATAGGGATCACAGTAAGTCTGTAGATTGCTTTGGTTAGTATGTCCATTTTTAAAATGTTAATTCTCCAATCTCAGAACATGGCATATCTTTCCATTTCTTCAAGTCGTCTTTAATTTCCTTAGTCAGTGTTTTATAGTTCTCTGCATATGAGCTTTCACTTCCTTGGTCAGATTTATTCCTAAGTTTTTTGGGGGTTTTTTTGATGTGATTTTTTTAAGGGATTGTTTCTTTACTTTCCTTTTCTGATATTTCATTTCCTTTTCTGAATTTCTGTATGTTAATCTTGTATCTTGCTACCTTGCTGAATTCTTTTATAAGCTCTAGTAGTTTTTGTGTGGAACCTTTAGGGTTTTCTGTATATAGTATCACGTCATCCATATGTAGTGACAGTTTTACCTCTTCTTTTCTAGTCTGAATCCCTTTTATTTCTTTTGCTTGTCTAGTTGCTATGGCTAGGACTTACAATACTACATTGAATAAAAGTGGTGAGAGTGAGCATCCTGGTCTTGTTCCAGATTTTAGCAGAAAGGCTTTCAGCTTTTCACCACTGAGCATTAGTGCTGGCTAGAGGTTTGTCATAAATAGTTTTTATTAGGTTGAGCTATGTCCACTCTATACTAAAGTGGGTTTCTTACATACGTCATAGAGTGGGTCTTTTTTTTTTTTTGATCTACTCTGATGGTCTGCATCTTCTGCTGGATGGTCTTAGACCGCTCAAATGTAAACTAGTCACTTCTCAACTGGCTTGATATCTGTCGTGTTTGTAACTGATTTCTGTTTGCTGCTTTTGTTTTCTTCCTCTGCTTTTCAGCCTTTTCTGGTTTTAATGGAGCATTTGATTTGATTTCGTTTCCTCTACTTCTGTAGCATATCAATTATACTTTTTTAAAAAAATGTTTTTAGTGGTTGTCCTAAAATGTGCACTATACACTTACAACTAACCTGTGTCCACCTTCAGGTAACACTGCGCTGTGCTTCAGGGCAGCGCAGGTGCAAAGGGAGCAGGGTATTCCCGGTTCCTCCCTCTTCTGAGAGCGTCTTCATCTCAGGTTTTCTACAGTTTGAATACGGTGTGCCTAGATGTAGACTTTCTGGTATTTATTGTGCTTGCTGTTCTCTGAGCTTCGTGGATCTGTGGTTTGGTGTCTGCCATTAATGTTAAAAAATTCTCAGCTACTACTTCACGTATTTCTTCCTCTCCTTCCTTTCTTCTCCTTCTTGCATTGTGCGTATGTGGCACTTTTTTATTGTCGCACTGTTCCCTGGTGTTCTGTTCTCTTTTTTTCCCCTCATTCTTTTTACCTTTTACATTTCGTTTTGGGAAGTTCCTACTGACATGTCTTCAGATGCACTGATTCCTTCCTCAGCCTTGTCCATGGGAGGCATTTGTCATTTGTTACAGTGTTTTGATTCTACAGCGTCTCCCTCCCCTCTTGCAGCACTCATGTCTTCTTGCATGGTGTCCACTTTTCCACCAGCAGTCCCAGCATGTTAATCATCGTATTTTAAATCCAAGTCTGATAATTCCGGCATTTCTGCCTCACCTCAGTCAGGTTCCGTCTCTTCAGACTGTCTTTTCTTGCCTTTGAGCACGCCTTGTGCCCTATGTGCAAAGGTGGACATGGTGTGTCGTGACAAAAACGGAGGTGAACAGGCCTTTCTCTGAGGTACTGTGTTAGCCTGACTAGTGTTTGGGCTGTGTCTAATCTCCTGTAGCTGTACTGTAAGTGCCAAGGCTTCAGATTCCTCTGAGGTCCTCATTTTTGTCTCCTCTGTTGTCTTTGGGTTTCTCTGAAGTGTACCTCGGGGCATTTCATAATCTTATTTCAGTGCATACCTCGGGGCATTTTCCCTTGTTACTCTTCAGGAGGGGAAGCATTTCATAACCTTATGATTAAATTTCCGCCTTTCAGCTGCCTGTGTTCCTGGTCTGTGACCTTCTTGAGCATTTCTTCCCTTTCTCTCCCCTCCTTTCTCTTCCCTTGAGTGAGACCAGACCAGCAGGCTAGAGGGGCCGAGTGAGGAGAGGCCCTTCCGCCAGGTGAGGTGTAGCTCTGCTGGACTCCTTCCCCGGCAGGTCGTGGCAGCCTTTGTTTTGAAGGATACTCTGGGCTTGTTTATTCCTGGTTCCCTTCCCCTCCGCTGCCAGGGCCTTGAGGAGATTATTTTCTTGGCTTTTCCTGGGGAGAACTCGGTGGGGTTCCTAAAAGCGAGATTCTGCACTCCGCCCCCAGCACTTCGTCCGTGGTGGGCAGGGCTTCCCCTCAGTCGCGTCTCCGGGAGTTTCTGCTCCAGGTGAGCAGGGCTCGGGGTTCTGTCAGCGCCTCTCCAGGTTTCAGGGAGACATCTGTGACCTCACTCTCTGGTAGGTCCAAGGAGAGTCCTTGATTTTCCGTTCTTTCGTGGTTTTTCTTGTGAAGCCAGGAGTTGTGACTTCTCCGCTCTTTCCATGTCGGAGTTGAAAGTGGAAGCACCCCCTCTACACACACACACACACTTTTGGTTTGGGTGTTGCTAGTGTGCGGGGCGGGGGCTGCCCAGTGTTAAAAAGGACCACCTAGCAGATTCACTTGTTGAATCTCATGGTTTTTTAGGTGGGACTTTTGGATAAAGTAGGTAATCAGTCATATCTGCAAATAATAATTATTTGGCCTCTTTTTCTGTCTTTTTGTATTTTATAGAAAATACACTCTTTTTTTCTGTGGAAAAGTTTGGGTGCCTTTCCATTTCGCCGGTGATAGAGCAAGGCCTTGCCCTCCATGATGTGCCAGTCACTGGGCGCCAGCCAGACCACCGGGGCCAGCGCAGTGTCCTCTCTGCCTGGGTGGCCAGCCCCCGAACCTGTCGTGTGGTGCATTTGGCGTCATGGTCTCTGGGCTGTGGCGGGGAACACTGTTGTCACCGGCTCTGGAAAGGAGACCATCCCTAAGGCCCAGGGGACACGCCTGCCACCAGGGTCCTCAGCCTGTCTGCTTGCGAGTTTGGCAAGAGACAGAAGGGACACGGCCAGAGTTTCCAGGGTGACTGTTCAAAACAGCCTTGGCCATGTGCCTAACCCTGCTCAACCAGGTGGTGCCCCCTGGTCGCCAGTGGGAGTAACGGGGTGGCCACCCACTCCTGCCTGCCCCAGACATACAGCCCCGCTGTGTCCTGCTTGATCTCTGAAGCCCCTCCCCTCTGAGATGCTGGTCCTCTGGTCTGGGTCTGTGTGTGTGTCCTGCTCTTTTCTGAGGGCTCCTCTTTTATGCTGGAACTACAGTTCCCAGCATGCCCTCCTCACACATGGCAGTCACTTCCTGCTGAGCTGTTGCAGCCAGGTGCAGACACTTCCCGTATATTGGCAGAAAACAACCTTGAAGAACCTTGACGCTGTCCGGAGTTTAGAAAACTTAGGGATGGGTAAGCCTGCTTTCACTGTCTTGGGCCAAAAAATGAAAATTTAAATTTCCTGGAGAAAATTTAAATTTTTGTTTTTGCATTTTGGTTGAGATTTTAATAAAAGAAAAATTTACGTGAAGAGGTTGGAAGTGGCAAATAGTCTAGATCCTTTATGTACTATACTTCTCATTTGTTTAACTTTAAATTCATTTTATTTTTATTTTTCTGAGTATAATTTACATACAGTAAAATACACACATCTTAAGGATAGAGTTTGGTGGACTCTGACGTATGTGTAGGCACGTGTACCTTGGAATTTGGGTCTTAGAAGTGCCGGGTTGCTACCGCCCACCGCCACAACACTCGGTGGAAACAGGGGAGACAGTGGCTGAGATGCTGGCAGCAGTTCGCGGCTGGCGCACAGCTTGGCGCGGTCAGGGCGCAGAGCAGCCAGCCCGTGGAGGAGCCTGGTTAGCCCCCAGCGCTGGGCAGCCTCTGTGGGCACTGCCGGGCCGGGGCACTGTAGCCCGGAGGAAGCGTGGAATCCCTCTGCCCACCACCATTGTTTACTGCCTGCCCTGTGGTCCTTGTCCAAATGAAAGTTCGTTGCAATTAAGAGCAAATGACTCGACCACGAGGACCCAACCTGGTGTGTTTCTCAGAGCATAGTCAGATCCTCACAGTGTCGGACCAACCTGCGTTGCAGCCAGGTGCTCAGGCAGTGCAGTCTCCTGCTGTTCACTGCCTGCCTGCACCTTTTGTTTCCAACCAAGTATACGTTTTTACTTGAAATGTTTCTTCTGACTTTAAGAATCATCTTAGAATTTTCTGATCTTCTTTCATTTACTGCCACGTAAACACACTGCTTCCTTTTTGACTCTTCCCTGTGACGTGAAGGAGTGTCTGTCACAGGCCAGCTCTGTGGGCTCCAGAACCGCCAGCGTCTGGGTGAGCAGTTCTGTGCCCAGAGACTCAGTGAACTGCGGCTGCGAAGGCTTCCCATGGCCTTTGTGCACTTCCCCACCCTTGCAAAGTCGACTTACAAGCGCGTGTGCGTTGAATCTGATGAAGGCAGGGAGCTGGGCCCTCAGCTGTCTCTCCCGCCCTCTGTGCAGGTGCCGATGACCCGGGCTGGGTCCACCTCTCTGGTGGTTCTGACCTGTCCTGGTGGCAGTGTCCACCCCGGCTCGTGGGGCTCACACTGTCCCTGGATTGTTGCCAAGCCACTCAGGCTGCCGGCCTGGGACACCAGCCGCTCCTGGGCACACCCCCTCCCTGCCCCACCCCATCATCTTCCTCCTGTCCTCACCGGCTCCCCAAACCTAACCCCCACTAACCGGCGCATCCTAAGCCTCACATTCTGGCTTTGCCAACTCTCCTCAGGCCTCCAGGCTTCTAACTTCCACCCTCAGCCCCTTGGCTGCCTCCCTGTCCGGGCCCCTGGCCGGTCCCTCTTTCACCTCTCCCGGCTGTGCTTCACCGCTCCAGCTCCTCCCCACCGGAGCCACGCTGCCCAGCCCTGTCAGGTGGGCCTGCACTCACACCTGGCCCGGCGCCATTGTCACGGAGGGGGAAGGGTCAGGCGGACCAGCATTAGTGTCCCCCGCTGGTCCCCCAACCCTGCATTGGCCTCTGAGGTGTAACAGGCCTGCCTCAGGCCCAGCAGCCGGAACCTCCCAGGACCTGCGTTTGTCAGCCCTGGCCCCATATGCGCCATGCTGTCCGTTCAGCAGCAGCCGGGAGGTCGTCTTACAGAAGATTTTCCATCTGCGCCTCCTGTCTCGTCTCTGTCTCCCAGTGACGTTTTCTGCCTTTTGTTAGGATTGCTTATGAAAACATCTCTTGCCTCGTAGGGATGCGGTGGAAACCCCTGCCCAGTCCATCCTTCATCCATTTTTGCTCCTCACCCACCACCTTCTAGGTGCTGGAGTCCCCGGCGGGGGTCAGGAGGAGCCCATCCTGTCAAAAGCCCAGTCCTTACAGTAGACCCTGTGGGGTCCTCCTGGCCAACCCATGGAGACCATGGTCTCACACACATCTCACAGCAGGCTCTGTCTCTCTGTCCAGCCTGCACTTGCAGGCCGGTGATTCCATACTGACTTCAGGGACCAGCCCTGCCTGTCTTTGCACAGGCCGTCCCTGCATGGTCAGCACATCTGCAGGACCTTCAGGTGTTCCCTAGGTCATCTCAAACAGCACAGAAACCTGCTCGCTTAGGAAGAAACCCAGCTGAGGCCCTGAGATTTTGCTTGACTCTGTGGGAGCCATCGGTTCCGGGCACGGGGGTTGACTGGTGTACCAGCCTCCTGCTCTGGCTGGAAGAGGGAGGGGTGGGAGGGAGCAAGGACTGAGGTGTGGGCCCTGACCTTGGGGCGGTGGGGGGAGAGCCCTCCATAGGCCATGTGTCCTTAGGCCAAGGCTGTGGCTACTCACGGACAGCCAGCCAGGGACGAGGGGACGTAACTCACCACAGCCTGTTCTTGTCGTCCTAGTTCTTTGGAAATTAGGATATTTTGCCCCCAGATCAACATCTCTGGCTTTCCTTAAAATAGAAGAAGATCTGCAGCAGAGGGCCTGTCCCTGCCGCAGTCCTCCTGCGTGGGCCCGAGGCCTGCGCTGTTGTAACACAGCCGGCGGGTCCAGGGAAAGGCGTTTGTCTCCAGTCTTTGATGCTTGTTGTTTTGCAGAAATGTTGCCTCTTCACATTCTCACTGAGGTGCAATTTACGTGAATGAGGCAGCTCTTGGGCGTCCCTGGGTCAGTTTTGATGGGTGAAGACCCCAGGCTGTCTCAGGCCCCACCACCCCGTCCTGACCCCTGCTCCAGACTTCTGTACAGATAAGAGTCGGGGAAAGTGCAAGTTTCTGTGTCTGGTGTCTCTTTCGTAGCATGTTTTTGAGGGACGTCTGATACACTAAATTTCTGGTCTCGTGGCGTTGTGAGCAGTGCCACGAGAAGTCTGTTTACTGTGTAGCACTCACAGGTCAGGCCAGTCTTCTTGAGCCTCTCAGAGGAGCTTGAAAAGGAGGAGTATTTTCTGGATTTAAGCTACGAAGTTCATTGCACGTCCGTTAGAAACACCTCGTTCATCACATTACGTAGAGATGCTGTTTGTTACTTGCATATTATTCGCTGGACACAGACATGAACTGAGATTCCTTTAGTTTCCTTCTGTCAGCACCTGTGTGTCTGCAGTGGTTCCTGCCATGTGAATGTTGCTGCCGTGCGTGGTGCATGCATCTCCCTTGTGACTCGCACCTTTAGCATTCCGAAGAGACGTTACTTGTCCTATTAAGCACGTGTTGGCTTGAACTTCGTTTTACCTGGTGGTAGGATCCCACGCAGGTCCTGGTCGCAGGAAGCGGACCTCGAGAAGGAACGCAGTCCGCAGGGCCAGCTTCCCCCGCAAGCGGTCTGGCTGTTTTGAATGTACGCTTGTGTCACAAGAGGAACTTAAAGGCAGACCAGCGCTTCCTGAGCCAGTGAAGAACATGCAGGGTGGTCCATGTGTCCTCTGGGGCTCACAGAGACCCTCTGGTCCTGGAATCCAGAGAAGAAAAGTCAGGTCCTGGCCTCCCCACCCAAGCTGCACCCCTTTTTATGCTGGCTCTGGAGCTGCCCCGGGAGGACCCTGGGAGTCCCTGACTCCTCCAAGGGGCCCCTTCAGAGTGGGGCGCCTTTAAGGTCCATATGGATGACGCAGGTGTGTGTGTTGTGGGCCGAGGGGTTGCAGACCACAGCTCCAGGTGGAGCAGCTGGTTACGTTCTGAACCCTGTGCTTTGCTAAGATTCCTGTTCATTCTGAGCGTCATGGGCCTGCTGAGCTGCTGCCTTCTGTCGTTGGGACCTCAGACTTCAAACCACAGCCTCTTCCTTCCAGTCGGAAGCCATGCGTTTTCTCAGTTGTCCAGCCATAAACGTCGGGATCACCTCCCTCTCTTGCGCCCACGTCCAAGCCATCAGCAAGTCCAGTTAGCCTCATCTTGGGTCAGATCCAGAATCTGGCCCTTTCCCCAACCTCCATCCCTGCCCCGGGCCCAGGCTGCCCTCCTCCCCGCCGGCCAGAGGCCCCAGCCCTTCCCCTTGGACCTGTCCAGGGCTCTGCTCAGAGTCAAGGCCAGAGCCCTCCCAGGGGCTGAGAAGGCTCTCCTGGCACAGCCTTCCAGCCCAGGAACCTTGTGTCTGCGGCCTGTCTGCCGGGTCTGCTCTTCAGAGCAGCTGCAGGGCCCCTACTCCCACTCTGGTCTCTGCGCACCCCTCACGGAGACCGGCCTCGCCCTCTTAGGTAAGATCTCAAGATGCACCCCCAGTCCTGGCTCGTCACCTGGTGTCCGTGAGACTCGGCGTCTTTCTTCACTTCTTTGTGCACGACTCTTCCCTCGCCCGGGTGTCAGCGCCCGGGGGGCGGCGAGGCTTGTCTCCCAGTAGCTCGCTGCCTGTCCCCCTCCCTGGGAGGGGGCTGGTGTGTTGCAGGCCTTCATGTGTTACCGGTAATCAGCAGCAGCAGCAGGATCTGCTGGAGCCTAGACTTTTGACTCTGAAGCTTTCGTTCCTTACTTCCACCAAGGATCAATACTAAAATCCGGGCTTAAATTTCCCTCGCTGTTTAATAATGAACTTTCTACCCATCAAGGCTCAAACGCTGCCATCCTCACTTTCTAACGCCCCCCCGGGCAGTGTGAAAGGGGATGCTGGAAGAGAGGGCCAGCCAGGGAAGGAGGAGATTTTCACACACCCCAACTCGGGCTCCGTTTTTGCCCCGTGCAGGCTCAGAAGTCAGAGGTGCGAGTCCCTGTTCTCCAGCCTCTGTTCGTGCTTCGTGCCCGGGCCTGGCCGCGAGCTCAGCCTGCTCCACAGGCCCGTGTTCTTAAACGTGGCCTGTCCCTCCTCCACCGCCAGAGCCCTGTGAGTCCTTTCCTCTTGGGTGTCATTCTCCCAGGCTGCTTTCAATTTATAGTCAAAGGTGGTGTGATGTTAGAGGTCAAGAGGCCCTTGGTGTGTATGACTGGGAAGTGGGTCCCCTTGCTTTGGCTTATTTGGGTCTGTTGAAACCTCTGATCAGGTCAGCTGACCCCTGCCTCTTCCTCTGCTTTTCCTTAATGCCGTTCGTGCTGTTCGGGTGAAGGCTGACAAGGTGTGGGAAGCAGGCATCCAGGGGAAGAGTCTGGACTGCATCTGGACATCAGACCTCCAGTCCTGGTGCCCTGGATGGGCCAGGTGTACGGCGCCAGCCCCATCTTCTGGCAGTCTCGGGCATGTAGGCCGCACACAGTGACGTGGGGACCACGGGAGCCAGGTTCTAAAAAGTCAGCACGTGGTCCATAGCCAGGGTCCACCCCGACTGCTTGGCCCAGTAGGACTGGGACGTGGGGTGGGGGTTTTCTGCTTGGCACCCCCTGGCAGAGTAGGGGTGGCCACCCACCCTTGCCTGTGGTCCTGTCTCTGGACCCCTCCATTCAAGGCCTTCGTGTCACCCCTCACACTTCAGTGACGGGCTTCTTCTGAGCCCTTCTCGGTCTAAAGGAAGCCCAGGGTGCTGCTGGCCTGGGGTCCGGAGGCTCCCTGGGAAGCTGCGGTCACATGCAAACCTTGCTCGCAGAGTTTGCGCTGCACACTTTACCTGCCCTGAGACCCCGTCCGCTTTTCACAGCTTCCTCTGCCGCTCATCTCCGTCCCTGAGGCGCCATAGGGGCACCTGCTTCCCCAGGCCTCCCCCTGCCCGCCAGGCCCTCTGGCTCTCTTTTCTGTGGAGGAGGAGCTGCAGGGTCCGAAGCCAGGTCTGGAAGGAGGACGTTTGCTAATTGCTTGGTCTTCTCCCCTCCTGACAGGTGGCAGATGGCCTGCTGACGGCCCACAGGGTTAACCAACAAGGGCATGCTCTGGTACAGAGTGGGCTTCCACACGCAGCTCAGCACAGGCGGCTGGAGGGAGACCTTTGGGCACAGAGCCGCTGACTGTCTCTTCCTTCTGTCCCCAGAGCCCGCCAGGATGAACCCCGTGGTGGAGCCGCTGTCCTGGATGCTGGGCACCTGGCTGTCAGACCCGCCGGGCGCTGGTACCTTCCCGACACTGCAGCCCTTCCAGTACCTGGAGGAGGCGCACATCTCCCACGTGGGCCAGCCTATGCTGAACTTCTCGTGAGTCTGCCCGGTCCTCCGCAGGGGCGGTTCTGGCTGACGAGAGGCCCACGAACACTAGGTGGGAAGGGACAGATGCACCTGGTGGTTTCTTTGAGAAAGGCACCCTTTCCCGGCCTGCATCTGTCCCTGACACCGTGGGTGGGTAGACATGGTACTTTCTTACGTTCTGGAAAATGTGAAGCTGACCACAGAATCTCAGGCTTGTTAATCCAAACATAAAAATACGTGTAGGTGCTCAGTTAAATCCTTCATCTCATGCTGCATGCCTGTGTGGAAACCAGTCACCCCAATATTGCTGAAAATAGGGGGACATGGCTTTCGTCCAGACCTGCCCCTGAGCCAGCCGAGGTGTCAGGGAAGCCGGTGGTGGTGTGGTTGGTTCTCAGGTTCTTACTGTGCAGCAGAGCAGGGCCTCCAGCTGTGCCTTTTAGGAAGCAGGTCGCAGTGAGGGCGGCTGGAGAGGGGGCACCCCCGGGATCAAAGGAAAGTGGCTGAGGATATGGTATCCCACACCTGCCTATGTTACTTCCGACTGAGGGGGTGAGGGAAAAGTAATGTCCCGCGTGTACGCCAAAAGCTGGAAGTTCAGGATAGCACACAACAACCCACAGTGCGAAGCAGTCTTTTTAAATTGTGGGTTATACCCATTAGAGAACATTGAGACTGGCATTGATTAATTTTGATGCTAATCACTCAGTTTTGTGACTAACATAACCAAAAGTGAAATAGAATAGGATAGAAGGTATATGTTTTGGTAAACGTAATGGTGCACGTGTGTAGGAGGTTTTGGTCCACAGCGTGTTCCTCATTAGGGGTCATGTTAGAGACGGCCTGCGCCCACCCTTGTGGGCCGTAGCCGCCCCACTGGCCCAGCCTCGTCCCTCTGTGGTAGCAGTAGGCTCCCGTGGTGGTTCGTGGTGCTGGTGACATGGGGCCCTCGGGTCAGGATGCAGCCTCCCCCTACTACCACCGAGAGTGTGCAGTGGACGCAGTGCCCGTTCTGTTTCCTACCTTACGGATGGGTTAGACTCCCAAGCAAGATAATAGACCCAAAGAGGAAAGGCCTGGTGTTCGGGTGGGATTTTGCCATGTTTGTGGGGTGCTCAGGGCTGAGAAACCTGTGGGGAATTGGGGCTGAAAGAACCTTGGGGGAAGGATATACCCCAGATTACAGAGGACAAGTCCCTGTCCCCAAGGTCGTGACCACTCCTGGTCAGTGGGAGGGTGGGAAGCGGAGGGGGGGAGGCTGTGGGCTGGGGCTGTGGGTGCTCGGGGAGGCGCTTCCCGGTGAGCGAGGGTCCAGAGCCCGCACACGGGTGTCTGCGTGTCCCACGTGGCGTCCTCTGTGTCTGTTTCCACACGGTTCTTAACGTTGAGGGGTGGGGTGCCTCCCAGGTACGAGGAGGGCAGCGGCGGTCTGGGCGCTCTGGTGGGCGTGGGGCACCTGGGGCTCCACCTGTCTGATTGCCCGTCCAGGTTCAGCGCCTTCCACCCGGACACACACAAGCCCATGCACAGGGAGTGTGGCTTCATCCGCCTGCAGCCCGACACCAACAAGGTGGCCTTCGTCAGCGCCCAGAACACAGGTACTCCCCTCACTGGGCCTCCGCAGGCTGCCCTTCTGCTGGCCCAGACGTGGCTAGCAGGCGAGGTGGCATCTGCTCCCCACTCTTACTGACCTCCGGCGTGTCCATGCTCAGGGACACATTTATGGAGGTGGTTGAGGTGTAGGCATTGTCCCGTGAGCACCTTTCGGGGTGAAGAGTGTTAGGCCTTAGGACAGGGTTGGGGAGCCGGTGGTGGGGCAGCTGTGGGAGCGTCTCTGTGCCAACAGGCTGACGTCCTTCCTCCGTCCCTCAGTTTTGTCAGTGGCAGTAGGCGGCCGGTGGCCGTCCGTGCTGCCGTGCAGGTGGGGTTTTGGGGGAACTGGAGCGGAGAGGCCCACTGCCCAGCTGAGGGTTCTGTCAGGAGGTCTGCTTTGCCCGCAGTGGGAGTTCGTCCCGAAACAGTCAACCGAGTTCATGAGTCAGAAGTTACTCACAACCTGCCTACCTGGCCTTCCATTCGGGTTGTTGGGGGTTGAGGGGGGTACTGGGGTCAGGGCACCCCCGGAGAGGGGAACCCTCGGAGCCCACCTCCCGGGCTGTACCCCCTTGATCCCTGGACGGTCGTTGCCCTGATGACTGCAAAGCTCAGATCTGGTGAATCCTTGATGGCAAAAGGTGGTGGGGAGCCCGGGCAGGCTGTGTGGACTGATGGTGCTGCCTTGCAGGCATCGTGGAGGTGGAGGAGGGCGAGGTGAATGGGCAGGAGCTGTGTATTGCGTCCCACTCCATCGCCAGGATCTCCTTCGCCAGGGAGCCCCACGTGGAGCAGGTGAGCCCGAGCGCCCGCAGCTGGCTCGTCATGATGTGCTCTTAACCACAGGCGGGGCCGCACGCCATCCCTGACTCAAGTTTCGCCTCTCACTGTATCCTGGCCTCTCCACCCACCACCTTCTCACTCACACGTGCCGGGATTTAATGCCTCGTCCCCACTCACTTGGGGGCAGTCGGGTGTTTTTCTGTCACAAACATTCTTTTCTGTTTTTGCTGTTGTTCTTGTGTAGCTGAAGATTTTAAGGTTTTGTTTAACAAAAGGAAAGTACCCTCGAAGAACAGGAGGCGGGCTGACCCCAAGGTGGACAGCCGATTCTCTTACGTCTGTGTTGTCCACTTTTGCGAATACATCCATGTCTGTTGGACACGTTTCTTTCTGCCGGTTTAATTGCTGAATCAAAAGATAGAAGCATTTTAAATTCTGGTGGATACTGTGCAGTTGCTTTTCGTAACGGTAGGCTCCCCCAGCACTGTGCGGGAGGACCCGGCTCCCCAGCCCTTCACCACCATGGTGCGTTTTCAGGCTTTCTGATCTTTTCAGATCTGGTAAATAAGAAGGTGGTGTCTCGTTGGTGTTTTAAATGTAGCTTGTGGGTGAGGGGAGCGTTGTCCTGTGCTCACCGATGAACTGTATTTCTTGTTCTGTGTACTTCATGGTCTCGGTCATTGCCTGGTTGTCTGTGGGGCAGCTGTCACTTTCTCACTGGTTTTTGGGAGATTTGTATGTACTGTGGATGTTACTCTGTGGTCTGCCGCATTTGTGGCACAGGTTGCCGTTCGGTGCTCTTGTTAGCGTGGCTTGTGATGTTCTACCCTCGGGCTGTACACTTTTCTGTACTTGCCTCTGGGGTCTTTTCCTTAACCCTGTCCGGATTTGGGTTCTTGCTCAGGAAGGCATGTTCTGCTCCAAAATGATAAAATTATTCTTCCATTTCTCGTACTCTTCAGGTTTCCTTTTCACTTTCAGACCTTTAGTCTCACTCAGGTTTGTCTCTAAGTGACGGAGCTTCTGGTGCCAACTTTCCCTGGTGGGGACCAGCGACCAGAGATGGACGGCAGTGTGCTGCAGGGTGGTGGGCGCACAGTGGTGCCGGGCCCCGCTGGCCGTGTTTCAGCCCACACCGAGGGTCTTTCTCTCTAGTTTCAGTCACAGAGGTCTTGGACGTGTCGTGGTAGGTCCAGCCTTCAGTCCTGAGTAGTTTCGTTGTTTCTGTTTCCTCCTCTGAGCAGCGTTGATGGCTGGGGACACCTGTGGGTGCTGTGTGTTCCTGTGGACCTGCCGGTCGGTCCCCTCGTGGCCATGCCTCTGCCTTCACCCCGGCAAGGTGTTTGCTGTAGTCGCCCCCCCCACCAGTCTCGCGGTGGTGGAGAGCCTTTGTCGGATTGAGGAGAGTCTGTTTCTGGCGTGCCCAGACTGCACTCAGGAATGAGAGTTGAGTTTTATCCAGTGCTGCTGCAGCCCCTTTGGGAGGATTCTGTGTTCTTTCCACTTGAAGCTGTTGGTGCACTGAACTACATTAGCAACACTCACGTCTCCTCCTTGAGGACAGTCCTCCTTGTCGTGACACCCAGATGTCATTACCCGTCTTGGTACCAGAGTCGGTCATGGAGAGGGCTGGGGGCCTTCTGGCTGCTCAGACCCCCGACAGTGAGGGTGAACCCACAGAACTTCTGTGGCAGGCGGGCGTCCTCGGGGACAAGCCCGCAGGCAGACTGGGGAGGCCGTCCGCCTTCCTCCGAGACTGTTCGTCTCTCCGGGTTTCCTGCCTGCTTAGCTTGCAGATTCATTTTCCCAGGAAAGGGCTTCAGGGTTTCACAGAGGAGTAACATGACTGTTTCTCACTGTTTGCCGTCCTGCGTCCCGTGTACCTTTCTATGCTTTGCACGTGTCTGTGGGTTCTCTTTTTCTTGCTCACACCTGATTCGTCACAGTTTTGTTTGATTTTTTTTTTTTTTTTTTTTTTTTGCTGAAGAACTGACTTTGGGTTTTACTGTTTAAACAAACAGCACCTCTCCTGCAAAAGGAGGGAGTAGGCAGGGGTGAGCCCTGAGGCCGCGTTGACCACAGGCCGGATGCTCATCCTGGGTCGGTCTGCCCCCAGGTTGGTCCTCCCAGCTGGGCTGACTTGGGCAGAACCAGGATGTGAGGAAGCTCAGCCTCGAGGCCAGGACGGGAGTGGGAGGTGAGGGACTGGACTCAAAGCCCCATCTGTCCCCCCGGCGTCTGGGGAGCTGAGTGCCAGGCTTCTGCAGACCCTGGGAGACACAGGTCTTGGGACGAGGCCCTGCGCTTCTGCCGCCGAGGCCCAGCCCTGACTCACCCTGTGCTTGGTCACTTCAGACCCCGCCCAGTCTGCATATGCCCTGTGTGCCCTGCAGCCGCAGCCTGAGACAGAGCGGGTCCAGGCCTGTGCCCCCGTTTGACAGGACGGTCAGGGAGGCCCCTGCCTCGAAGAACCTCTGCCCGTCCGTGCTTGCCGCACCTTGAGTCTGGCAGCTTCTGCATCGAGTTTGCAGCCCCAGCTGCTCTGATGGTGCGGGAGGTGCAGCGTCTTTCCTGTCCTTGTTGGTCGTACTCTCGGGAAGTCCTGCTCAGTCCTTGACCATCTTCTGCTGCTTCCCTTCCTGACATCGGCAGTTCCTCGTATGATTGGGACATAAGCCCTTATGTTCATTACGCGTGTTGCAAATATCTTTTCCAGTCTGTGAGTATCTTTTCAGTTCTTTTTATTATTTTTGAGAAACAAAAGTTCTTAATTACATATGCTTCAATCTGCTGGTCTCTTCTTTCTGGATTCTGTTTTATTTAAGCAGTTTTCTCTAAGAACAGGTCAGGAAATACATATTCTGTGTGTTTCTCTTGGAGCCGTCACAGTCTGACCTGAAGCCTTTCCTTTAGGTCGCTAGTGCACCTGGAATTGAGTTTGTGCGTGTTGTCTGAGGAGGGGAGTGACCAGCTGCCCCAGCCCTGCCCAAGGAGCCTGCCTGCCCTTCCCGCCTGAGCTTTTCTCATTTTTAAAAATCAATTTTCTTGAAGTATAATTTATACATGGTCTATGTGTAGCACACCCCAGTCCAGACAAGAACAGTCCACCACCCCCAGAAGGAGTCCCTGTGCCCCGCGCCCTCCCCACGACCGGCGACCCGGCCTCTGTCACTGTGGACCGGACTTGTGCCGTCTAGAGCTCCCTGTAGGTGGGGCCCCGCAGACGCACCCCTTCCAGGCAGGTCGTGTTCTGAGCGTCTTCTGTGCTGTTGCTCCCACCAGCAGGCTGGTCGGTTTTGGCTGCTGAGCAGTGCTCCCCAGAGGGAACGTGTCGGTCTTGCTCATCCCTTCTCCTCTGAGGGGCCTGTGTTTGGTTTGGTTCCAGTTCCGGGCTGCTGTGAATAAAGCAGCTGTGGGCATCTGTGTACATGTCTCTGTGCAGACACGTGTTTTTATTTCTCTTGGGTGGATCCCTACCACTGCACCAAACTCAGAAGGGTCTGCAGGCTGCTTTCCAGCACAGCTGCCTCCCTGCGCCACGCCCTGCCCCCCGGGCTGCATGCCAGCCGGCCCAGCCCTCTCCGGGTCGGTCCTGGGGCTTCAGCCATCCTGGTGGCGTCCAAGACTGCATTTCCCTGATGCCCAGTGTTGTTGCTCGTCCTTTCACTGTGCCCATTCGCCACTTGTGTTTTTTGTTTCGGGAAGTGAGCATCCACGCCCTCTGTCCTCTTTCTGCAGTGGGCCGGTTGTCTTACTACTGAGCTGGTAGAGCTTGTTGTATGTTCTGGATACGTGTCCCTCATCAGGTGGAGGTGGTAAGACTATGTTCCCGACTTAAGACTTGCCTTTCATTTCTTTAACAGAATGATTTATGTTTGATGAGGTTCTGTTATGAACCCCGTCTTTTATAGTTAGTCTTTCGTGCCCTGACTAAACATTTTTTGACTAAATGCAGGCTTTCACCTGCATTTTCTTCAGGAATTTTTGTAGTGTTCCGTTTTACCTCAAGGCTTATGATTTCGGAATTTGCTTTTTTGTATGGTGTGAGGTAGATGTCAAAATTTTTAAATTTTTTCCCATGTAGATATTCAGCTGAGTTGTTCCAGCACAATTTTTTGAAAAACTACCCTAACTCGTTGATGTCTGTAGGTGTCTTTTCTGACAATAACTCATTGGACCTGTGTGTGTCTCTCTGACGCTGTCCGGGCCTGGTGCTTGCTCATCCTGCCTGTGCAGCGGTACCACGCGGTCTTGATGTCTGTGGCTTTACACTAATCCTTGAAACTGGGTGATACTAAGTTGCCCAATTTTTTCCTTCTTTTTCCAAAATTGTTTGGCTATCCAAGGATCTTTTGCATTTCCGTATGAATTCTGGAGTCAGTTTGTGAGCTTCCAGAACAGATTTCATCGGGATTGCTTGAACTCCCAGGTTAACCCGGGGAGCGCCGTCTTGGGCAGGCTGCCGTGTGGCCCAGGGTCAAGGCAGGTTTCGGCATCTACTGAGCTTTCTCCCACTCTGAATTGCTCTGCAGTTTTCAGTGTGCACGTTGTACACGTATTTTGTTAAGTTCTTCTAGTTCATGGTTTTAGCTGCTGTTACAAGTGATTTTTCGGTTTTTCCAGTTTGCTGCTAGCATGTAGAAATGAAACTGACAGTTGTAGTTTGATCTTATGTCATGTAACCTTCTATTCGCTTATTTACTTTAGCAGCTTTTGGGCAGAGCCCTCAGGCCTTTCTGCGTAGATGCTCATGTCATCTGCTGTTTCATCTTGACGCCACTGGACAGGATCCTCGGTGTAATGCTCAGTTCAGCGGGTGGGAGCAGACACTGCCTTGCCCTCTGTTTTAGGGGAAGGCGTTGTGTATGGTGTTGGCTGTAGGGTTATCAAATTACATTTCCTCAAGTTTTTAGTTTGCTAGTTTTTAGTTTTTTTAATCATAAATGGGTATTGAATTCTGATGCATGCTTTTGCTGTAATTATGGAGGTCATTATGTGATTTTTCTCCTTTT